CGCCGCCACCGCCGCCGTCGCCGACGTCGCCGACGACCGGGGAGACGCACGTAGTCTAAACGTGAGACTCGTACCGACGTCGTCGTCGTACTCGCCGGTAGTCGTACGCTGTTTTCTCCGAGACAACCCCCACGGCTCTAGGGTTCCTCACGCCGCTCCAACTTGGGATCCGTCAAGGTGAGTCCGAATACGTTTGAATAACGAACAATTACAAGATTCCCGGACGCGTTTCGCCGACTCGTCGATGTCTCCCTCCTAGCGCGCCCCTAGCACAGCGCTGCGGCTCGCTTGTTTCCTTCGGGAGTCAACAACCCCGGATGTTTTTCCGTTTTCTCGATCGATACTCCGCTGGGTTTTCAGCGTCCGCCGTGCGGCTCACGCGGCGGATTTTTCCGCTGGCCGCGGGCCTCGGTTTCGGGGACGCGTGTCTCGCTCGCGGCTACGTTCACGCTGCACGGTTGCGGCGGTCCTTGTCGGTCGGGCTCGTTCGCGCTCTCCTGCTCGCTCTTTTTCGTCGACGTGTGCCTCGGCCGCGCGACGCGACGGCCTACGCGGCTCGATAAAACGCAAGCAAGGGTTAGGCCGCCGTGCAGGCCTCATCGATCTCTCTCGTTCCCTCCCTCTCTACCTCTGTCTGTATTCCGCTGTCCTCCTCCGTCTCGCTCTTCTATCTCGGTCGGTCGGTCGGTCGGTCGGTCGGACGGTTTTCCCGGCCGAGAAACTCCGTCGACGGTGTCGCACGCGCGCGGCTCATTTGCCAGCGCCGGTGTGTGCGTGCGTGCGATGCACCCCTCGTCAAAGTCTCCCCGATTCGCCTACGCGAGCCAGGACGCTCCTCGACGCGTCCGTGTCGCGGCCAACCCCCATGACCTTGCACTTCCTGCAACGATACTTTCTCACCCTGCGCTCGCTGGCTCGCCGTACACCGAATTTCGCTCCTCGCTCGGTCTTCCTCCTCGAGGGGTAGTTTCCGCGAGAGATGACTCTCGCTGTCGTGACTCTCGGGGATTCGGGGAATTTGTCTTATTTGCCCGCCGTTGAATTAACACGCGTTTAAAGTACCGTCCGCAGGAATTTCCTGGAATGGAAACTGAGATGTTAAGATTTCTAGCAGCGATTGCGTTTCTTTGCAATCTTCTCGTATCTCGTAGGTTTAAGGAATTTCGTTCGATGTGAAAGTATTTTCTTTATCTATTTTCGACGAGATGGTAATTAGAGTTGACTGCTTTCCTTTGATTACATGTAGGTCTGTCTGATCCTCTTCTTTTGCACACTCGCAGTCCATAGTTTTATGTTTCATAAAGTCGACGCAGTTTATATAAACCTTGTCAGATGTCATACACTGACCTATCCCCTCGAAATTGGAACCAGGTTAATGGAACGCTGCGTATCGATACACTGGACGCGGTAAAAAGCAAGTCCGCTCAATTCCACGCGTCTATAAACAGACTCCAAGCCACCGAGCATTAACCGAACGTTAGTTTCCGTATTAACCATTCAAAAAATGCTGCAGACTTTTTTCATCCCCGGTTGCCACTAACTCGCAAACGCATAAAATCTGATCCACCTAATGCACCAGCTGAAATTTCAATTTCAAATCCCAAGATGGAATCATATCTTTTATACACTGTCAATACCGCGTTCCAGGCGAGCCATTTCGACGTAAAACACCGGGAATCACGTTCCCGTGGGATTGCATCCGAAATGATTGTTAAACATCGTTCGGTAAATTTCAAACCCTTCCCCGGTGGACCGCCGCAGCCGCGTGTATCGCGCTCGGAAGAGGAACTTTCGTCCCTTATCCTCGCAGTCAGCAAATAGTCTATTAAGCGACAGGCAGCGTAAACAGTGTGAAATTTTCCGTGTTCTTTTCATTTCCGTCCGTTCCTTTTCACCGCTGCCCGGAGGAAACTGAGCGCGGCCTGTCCGCGAGAACCGGAAACGGTACCCGAAACGTCGGAGTTGCATTTCCGGCCGTTTCAATATTATGCCAACGTATCCGTTCCCCCTTCCGCCCCTCGAAACCGGTTCCATTAGGGAAATGCGCGTTCGGGAGGTTCTTAAATTGAGTGGCAGTTAAAAGGGAACCATTCCTATGATGTACAAGCTTTGACGGGTCTCGATGGTGTATCGAAGGGGCCATTCGGCCCGTTTCCCCGGGGATGATCCACTTAGATCGATGTCTAATTTAACCCCGACCTCCGTTCGCCCTCCTTTCAATCAGAACTGTACATTTCGCAATTTCACGTGTCCCATCGCGCGAGCTGTTCCCTTCCTCGGCGTTTTTTTCCCCCCGTTTTTCTCTTTTCATTAAATCCCCGCGTCCCGTCGCGTCGCCGCGTTCGCGAATTCTTTATTTATCACCGTCGTCCACTTTTACGAGTGCCATTTTGCTCTTTTATTAATACTCCGAACGCGTAGAACGCGAGTTACGAGCCGGCCGAATATGTATATTTATATATTGTACATATATTACAAGCGTAACGGTGATTTATGCAGCAGCGACGAGCGATACGTCTCCCTTGATTGCAATTAGAAAAATACCGTCGCTCGAGAGAGACGAATGGCCGCTGACGAGACTGTATTTATAGGAGCGGGCATTTCTCGCGGGCCCAATGACGCGTGTATATTTTACAGTGACCGCCGCTCGTTCCGATGGAAACGCATGTCCTCCTTCTAGGGGAATCGTTCTTTCGTATCGACGAATCACCGGTTCGTTGTCGTCCCTCTTTACGCGAAGAACGATACGCGAGGAGGAACGCGTTCCATCGGAGGGAAACGTTGCCCCCGCAACGTGCACGCGCGTCGTTGCGCTTGTCGAAAATGTATAAACCTGAAAATACAATCTTCCTCGGGCCATTAATATTTCTCGTTCGATATTTACTTTCCGGTTGCAATCAGGGAAACGTGCTCGCCGTTCGTGCAGCCTCCGCGTTCTTTTAATGCAGTTACGGGGAAACTTGGAAGTGCAGGATTGCAACTCGGCGCAGTCGGAAACATATAGAACACCGAAGGCGCAGCTTTTTACGGCGTTCATTAGGGGAAACCTTTTTCTATTATAACCCTGCGCTCCTAATTACCTTCTTGACAATTCGAGCTCGCGTAAAGGTTCGCAGTCCGCTGATTACTATCGTCGTCCCCTTTGTATTTATCGCGATTCGAAATCGTTGCGGGAGTAAACCAGAATTTCACCGGAGTTACGCAAATATTTTCCGCGGCTCGATAGGAACCCGTAGACGGGGTACGGTGGGTTAAGAACAACCCCAATATTTACGCTATTTACATTCCCGTATTTGCCCTGTTTGCCTGACTAAACACGGACCGATTCCACTTGCCGTTGTGTAGGTGTTCGCAGGATCTACCCGCGGGAGGGGTTGAACGCGCGAAGGGACGCGGGAGGGTTAGGTCTGTAGGTTAGGAGGGTCGGAGGGAGGCGGACGAAGGTCAGCGAACTCCCTCGCCGTTTCTTTTCCTCCCTTTCTCAAGTCACTACGCTCTCCTGTAATTAGACTGCGAATCTTTGTGAGGAATCAAAATTTCTTCGGGCAATCAGACAAAATAGGATTCAAATGGTAATCGAGTTCTTGCCTCGGGAACTTTAATAAGTGTAAAATACTGTAACAACGTCTTTAGAATCTTCGGTACAATTTAAAGATTTCCCCTTTCTCAATTAACGTTCGGTCTACAATGAAATTTCCGATTTTATGCATTTGTAATATTCAGGAATACACGGGACACAAGTGAACGGTTCTACTAAAATTTTAGGTAATTTCTACGTCTCTTAAAAGGAGAGCTCCATTCGAATTGAATTCTAAATTGAAACGATCCTGGTTCCTTTACTTTGCAATTATCAAAAAGTCACGTTTCTCTGAGACATTCTCAAAGAAATCTAGCACCATGCTAATTAAATTGTCAATCGATTGAAGTCTCAGTAGAAGAACTCTTGTAGTTTCTAGGAATTTCGAGAAATCAATTTGCTCGACAGTTCTACTGTTAATTCACAGGGACGTCAATCGCATAAAAATGCACAGTTTACTCGTTCCGCTTACTCCGGCGGCCGCCAACGTTCAACCATCTCCGAATTAATTATTCAAGGACTGAGCCCTTATCTACGTCTCGCATATCGTATCAGGCGACGCAGTTTATCTTGCATCGCGATGAATTTCACCGCGGAAAACGCGGCTTCCCCGTCTCTCGCGACTGCATATCGTTCGCCGAGTCTCCGGTCGTATGCAGATGCGAATTCGCCAAGTTCAATTGATATTTAAAGCCGGCGGAAGTTGCCCCGCGAATTATTCGCGGAACCAGAGCCGAGAATACCGGATTTCTAATTTCTTCGGGGGAAGTTTCCCTCCTCGCGGACTTCCGCGTCGAACCGACGCACGGCTTCAAATTAATTTCCCGGGAATTCGCCCCGTAATCGAAGATCTTTCTTTAATCTTAACTTTTCT